GTTTGGTAAATTCTATACTAACGACTTCCATTGTTCGATTTGCAGGAGGAACATTTGCATTATATTCACTGATTTGCAAGTATACAAATGTTAATCTTCTTCCGAATAGTCAATAGGCATATGAATATATATCAAGTTTCAAGCTTAAACTTCCGACTCCAGAACTTGAAAGAGTTTTGAGTATAAAAGATGCATTGAAACATAAGTCTTCTTTAAAAATCCTTCTCTTGCTTTTGGTTCTTAGGGGGACATCTATGATTATAGGGGATGGTATTTTGACGCCGACTATTTCTCGTATATAGATATTTCGCTGATCCTAGAACCAACTAAGAAAAGTAACGATATAGCATAACAATATATTTTTGTTGTAGTAATCTTTGCTATGAGCGGTCTTCAGGGTCGGATACCAAGATTCGGCACAGGTAGGTAAATCGAGTTTCTACTTGTTGTTATCTAGCATAGGAGTATATGACGCAGGAATGTATCAATTTGACAAAGAACAAGAAAAGAAAGTGGAAAAGGGGATCAAGAAAAGAAATGAGGACAAGAGAAATATTTTATCCATATATTCAACAGGTACTTATTATAATGAGCAAGCCCTCTATATATAGAGCTACTAATCTAAAATTAAAAGAACTCCTACTATACAACTTTATCAAAGTATTAAATCTAATCTAAATAAAATATTTTGAATCAAACTCTATTTTTAAAATAAGATCTTAACTCTATCTTTATTCTTATGTTTATCACCATTAGTAGGATTCTATCAAGCTAAGTCATCTAAATGCCCAAGTTACGAGAAATGTGAAACAATCATTTCTTAAAGTTTGTCTTCCACACGTCTCACATATTAAAGGCCTAAAACATATTCAACGTTTATGAATGAGTTACTACTAAACTAACATTTGCTTGCTCTAATACCATCTCAAACTACCTATCTAAAAGTACATAAGTAGCTAAAGAGAGGTCTCATGTGTGATGTGTTTATTTAAATTGTGTCTTCAAGAATGCTGTTCAATCTAAATTGTTTTTTAACAGTATATTCTATTTGCATTTTCAAATAAGGCGTCCACCAGAATATATTATTGACTAGTCCAAGTAGTGAAATCGGATTAAACATTGGAGAACTTTCACTAATTGTTTGAACATAATATTCTTTTAATGTCCCATTTTAATACATGTTAAATTATATCACCTCCATTTTGATCTCTCCTTTTTTTTTCCAGATGCTATCGTTATAATCTCAATTGTTATTCTTGTGGGACTATTTAACATACAGAGGTTTGGGACCAGTAAAGTAGGCTTCACATTTGATCATGCCCTTGCTTTATGGTTCTTTAGTCTTGAATTTATTGGAATTTACAATCTTTTCAAGCATAATATAACTGTTATGAAGGCAACTAACCTTGTTTACATCTATCTGTTCTTCAAGAAGAATAGCATCAATGGATGGTTGGCGTTCAGTGGTTACGTGTTATGCATCAGAGGTAAGTTGGATTTGCAATGTTCATTTTCCATCTGTTATCTACATGAGACGACATTTCTTGCTTTTTCCAAGCAGGCTCTTTTCATTTTTTATTTGAATGGGATTTTGATTAGGACATTTTAATTTTCGTCCCAATTGTAAATAAACAAAAATGTTAGTATGTATTCACGCATGTGCATATATGTAGTGATGTGCAGATTGATGTACAGTCAGATGTAAATTTATTATTCTACTTTTCCTGGTTGAGATATTATATGAATTACAATTACGAGTGCAGAAATAATGTTTGCTGACCTAGGTCATTTGTCTGTGCCATCAATACAGGTTTGTTTATCCCATTAGTTTTGTGTTACTTATTTTTAAGGTTATTTTCACATGCTCTTAATACAGTGATAGACTTATTCGATAATTGCCATAGATTGCCTTCACTATTGTGGTTTTTCCCTGCCTTCTCTTAGCTAACATGGGACGAGCTGCTTATCTCACAAAACATCTTGATTCAGCTCATAAAATATTTTACGATTCTGTTCTAGGTAATGATTTTCAAAACTTCTTATTATTTTCACTCTTGAACTCCTCGGAGTAGGAACCTACTCATATCGTTAACTTGACAATGGGTCATTTTATATTTATTGTTGGGGCGCTCATACATTTGTTAAGCATCACTGATATACTTATATAAAGGGCTGATTAGGGGGACAACTTTGTGTAAGATTTAAATTGAGTGGTATGAGAAAACTCTGTACTCTTCTCCATTATATTGAAAACGTAGGGTGAACCACTATAGATTTGTATGTCATTTACTCATTTTCTAATTTCTTTTCTGTTTAATAGCTCTTAGAAATAGGGATTAGGCTTAATCCATAGCATGTAGCCTTTCTTATGTTATCAAAATGGAAATTGCCTTTTTACGTATGATGGATACTTTTGATATGTGTTAGTGAATGATACAGTTCATCTTTTTCTGCCCAGTGTTTGTGATAGCCACAATTGCTGTTGTCATCGATAGTTAGTCCTTGATATCTACTTCATTTTCGTGCGTCAAGAAGCGATGGTGCTCGAGTGCTTCCGAAGCTAAAAATAGTTCACACTTAAAGAAAACGGATGGGTCAAATTTACATTCCTGTCATCAATTGATTTTTGATGATCATGTGCATTATTGTGGTTGCAGCCTTTAGGAGTACCACAGATATAACCAATGCATACGGTTAGTATTTCCTTAAGCCAGTCTAGCCTTTTTCTAGTTGGTAAACGCCCCTACCCATATGATTGTCTATAAGAACCAACTTTTGAACTTGTCGTATCAAATTTTGAATGATCTTTGAACTTGTCACCTACTTGGAGTTCAAAGTTCTTTAGCAAAAATGTGGCAATGAATCGAAGATTCTTTGATTTACACTTGTAAATTACAAAAGTAATGATGAAAGTTACCTTGACTTTGGAAGCATAACCAAGGTTGGTGTAATGATTGTCAGCACAACCTTGGTGACACTCGTCATGTTCTTTATATGGCAAACTAACTTATTTTTGGCAATCTGCTTTCCACTCGTGTTTGGAACAATAGAGCTAATTTACTTGTCTACCATTTTATCCAAGATCACAGAGGGAGGCTGGCTACCACTGGCTTTTGCTTCTTTTTTCCTTTGTGTAATGTACGTGTGGAACTATGGAAGTGTGTTGAAGTAAGCCACGTGGAAAGATCTTGATGGAATTCGTGCTTGAGTTTGGTGCATCTCTTGGAACAGCACGAATCCTGGGGATTGGACTGTTGTACAATGAGCTTGTCCAAGGCATACCGCCCATTTTTAGGCAGTATCTATTGGATCTTCCCGCTATTCACTCTATTGTAGTATTTGTTTGTATCAAACACATCCTAGTACCATTCGTCCTTCGAGAAGAACGATTTCTGTTTCGAAGGGTCTGCACTAAAGACTACCATATATTTCGTTACATTGCTCGATATGAGTACAAAGATGTTAGGAAAGAAGATCATCATGCATTTGAACAACTTTTGGTGGAAAGCCTTGAAAATTTTTTTAAGTAAAGAGGCTTTGGAGCTGCTCTAGAGAGCAATCAGAACGAATTAGAGTTTTGACCACATTTCTGTAAGATCTAGAGATCGTGTTGTTCGGGCTCGTGACTCAATTGGGGAACTGATGCACGATCAAGTATCGGACGAAGGATGAACGTCTGCATTGTCATCTAGTGTCATGTCAGCAGACAAAGATCCAAGTATCGAGTATGAACTCTCTGCTCTTCGAGAAGCTACTGCCTCGAGATTTACTTACCTGCTCGGTCATGGCGGTGTAAGGGCAAAAAACCCTCATGGTTGCAGCGCCTCATCTGTAGTTGTTCCCTAATAATGCATAGAAGTAATTTATCGTCAACTTTTTGAGAAACCATGAGTTTTTCTTGGCCCTCACATCGTCATGACCAAGCAGATAAGTATATCCCGAGTCAGTAGCTTCTCAAAGAGCAAAGAGTTCATACTCGAGACTTGGATCTTCGTCTATTGATATGACACTAGGTGGCAATGCAGACGTTCTAGCTTCGTCCGATACTTGATCGTGCATCAGTTCCCTAGTTGAGTCACAAGCCCGAACAACACGATCTCTAGATTTTGCAGAAATGCGATCAAACTCTAATTCATTCTGATTACTCTCTACAGCAAGCTCCAGAGCCTTTTTACTTAAAAAATTTTCAAGGCTTTCCACCAAAAGTTGTTCAAATACATGATGATCTTCTTTCCTAACGTCTTTGTACTCATATCGAGCAATGCAACGAAATATATGGTAGTCTTTAGGGCAGACCCTTCGAAACAAAAATTGTTCTTCTTAAAGGACGAATGGTATTGGGACGTGTTTGATACAAACAAATACTACAATAGAGTGAATAGGGGGAAGATCCAATAGATACTACCCAAAAATGTGCAGTATGCCTTGGACAAGCTCATTGTATAGCAATCCAATCCCCGGGACTCACGCTGTTCCAAGAGATACACCAAGCTCAAGCATGAATTCCATCGAGATCTTTCCACGTGGCTTACTTCAACACACTTCCATAGTTCCACACGTACATTGCACACGAAAAAAAAAAAAAGCAAAAGCCAGTGATAGTCAACCTTCCTCTATGATCTTGGATAAAACGATCGATAAGTAAATTAGCTCTATTGCTCCAAACACGAGTGGAAAGCAGATAGTCAAAAATAAATTAGTTTGCCATATAAAGAGCATGACGATTGTCCCCAGGGTTGTGCTGACAATCATTAACCAACCTCGGTTATTCCTGCAAAAACAAGGTAACTTCGGTCATTACTTTTGTAATTTACAAGCGCAAATCAAAGAATCTTCGATTTATTGCCGCATCTTTGAGGAAGAACTTTGAACTCCAAGTAGATGACAAGTTCAAAGATCATCCAAAATTTGATACAAGTTCAAAAGTTGGTTCTTGCAAACAATCATATGGGTCGGGGCGTTTACCAGCTAGAAAAAGGTTAGACTAATTTAAGGAAATACTAGTCGTATACATTTGCTATATATGTGGTACTCCTAAAGGCTGCAACCACAATAATGCACATGATCATCAAAAACCAATTGATGACAGTAATGTAAATTTGACTCATCCGTCTTCTTGAAGTGTGAACTATTTTTAGCCTCGAGAAGCACCCGAGCGCCATAGCTTGCTTGACGCACGAAAATAAAGCATATATCAACGCCAAACTAGCGATGATAGTAGCAATTGTGGCTATCACAAACACTAGCCAGAAAAGATGAACTGTATCATTCACAAGCACATATAAGAAATATCCATCACACGTAAAAGGTAATTTCCATTTTGATAACATAAGAAAGACAACATGCTATGGATTAAGCTTAATCCCTATTTCCAAGAGCAATAATAAACAGAAAAGAAATTAGAAAACGAGTAAACGACACACAAATCTATTGTGGTTCACCCTATGTTTTCAATATGATGGAGGAGAGTACAGATTTTTCTCATGCCACTCAGTCTAAATCTTACACAAAGTTGTCCCCCTGATAAGTCCTTTATTTAAGCATACCAGTGATGCCTAACACATGTATGAGCGCCCCAACAATAAATATAAAATGACCCACTATCAAGTTAACGATATGAGTAGGTTCCTACTCCGAGGAGTTCAAGAGTGAAAATAATAAGAAGTTTTGAAAATCATCACCTAGAACAGAATTGTAAAATATTTTATCCGTTGAATCTAGATATTTTGTGAGATAAGCAGCTTGTCTCATGTTAGCTAAGAGAAAGCAGGGAAAAACCACAATAGTGAAGGCAATCTGTGGCAATTATCGAATAAGCCTATCTCTGTATTAAGAGCATGTGAAGATAACCTTAAAAATAAGGAACATAATATTAAGGGGATAAACAAACCTGTATTGATGGCACAGACAAATGACCTAGGTCAGCAAACATTACTTCTGCACTCACAATTGTATTTCATATAATATCACAAACAGTAAAAGTAGAACAATAAATATACATCTGACTGTACATCAATCTGCACATCACTACATATATGCACATGCGTGAATACATACTAACATTTTTATTTATTTGCAATTGGGACGAAAATGAAAATGTCCTAATCCATATTCCATTCAAACCAAAAATGAAAAGAGCTTGGTTGGAAAAAGCAAGAAACGCCGTCTCATGCAGATAACAAATGGAAAATGAACATTGCACATCCAACTTACCTGTGATGCATAATACGCAACCACTAAGCGCCAACCATCCCTTGATGCTATTCTTCTTGAAGAATAGATAGAAGTAAACAGAGTTAGTTGCCATCACAACAGTTACATTAGGCTTGAAAAGATTGTAAATTCCAATAAATTCAAGACTAAAGAACCATAAAGCAAGGGCAAGAGCAAATGTGAAGCCCACTTTACTCGTCCCAAACCCATGTATGCTAAATAGTCCCACAAGAATAACAATTGGAATTATAATGATAGCATCTGAAAAAAAAAATAAATAAATAAATAAATAAAGGAGAGATCAAAATTGAGGTAATATCATTTAACATATATTGCAATGGGACATTAAAATAATATTATATTCAAACAATTAGTGAAAGTCCTCCAATGTTTAATCCGGTTTCACTACTTGGACTAGTCAATAATATATTCTGGTGGATGCTTTATTTGAAAATGCAAATAGAATATATTGTTACAAAACAATTCAGATTGAACAGCTTTCTTGAAGACACAATTTAAATAAACACATCACACATGAGACCTCTCTCTAGCTACATATGTACTTTTAGATAGGTACTTTGACATGGTATTAGAGCAAGCAAATGTCAGTTTAGTAGTAACTCATTCATAAACGTTGAATAGGTTTTAGACCTTTAATATGTGAGACGTGTAGAAGACACACTTTAAGAAATGATTGTTTCATATTTCTCGTAACTTGGACATTTAGATAACTTAGCTTGAAAGAAGCCTACTAATGGTGATAAAGATAAGAATAAAGATAGAGTTAAGATATTATTTTAAAAGTAGAGTTTGATTTAAAATATTTTATTTAGATTAGATTTAATACTTTGATAAAGTTGTATAGTATGAGTTCTTTTAATTTTAGATTAGTTGCTCTATATATAGAGGGCTTATTAATTATAATAAGTACACATTGAATATATGAATAAAATATTTCTCTTGCCCTCATTTCTTCTCTTGATCCCCTTTTCCACTTTCTTTTATTGTTCTTTATCAAATTGATACATTCCTGCATCATATACTCCTATGCTAGTTAATAAGAAGTAGAAACTTGGTTTACCTACCTGTACCAGATCCTAGTATCCGACCCTGAAGACCGCTCACAACAAACATTACTACAGTAAAAATATATTGTTATGCAATATCGTTACTTTTCTTATTTAGTTCTAGGATAGGCAAAGGGTTTATATACCAGAAATAGTCAGCGTCAAAATACCGTCCCCTATAATCATAGATGTCCCCCTAAGAACCAAAAGTAAAAGAAGGGTTTTCAAAGAAGACTTATGTTCCAATGCATCTTTTATACTCAAAGCCCTTTCAAGTTCTGGAGTCGAAAGTTTGAACTTGAAACTCGATATATATTCATCTGCCTGTTGACTATTTGGAAGAAGATTAACATTTGCATACCTGCAAATCAATGAATATAATGCAAATGTTTCTCCTACAAATCGAACAATGGAAGTCGTTAGTATGGAATTTGCCAAACCATATTTTTAAGCAAAAAGTTAGTACATTCCCCATTACCATTCACCTTGAGCACCACAAAAACGTATTTTGTTAAAGGAATGAAAGCAATTGTGTACATTACAAGCGATAAAGCTCACAAGACATTGACCTCTAACGTTATGGGTACCTTACTGAATACATCAAAGAAGACGTATAAAGGGCTTGTGCCCATATCACTATATACTACACCAAGTATCTGAAATGCCAAAACAAGAGTTCTCCAAAGAGAAATATCCTGATTTGTTGAAGATAATCTTAATAAGGAAAACAGAAAAAAATACTGAAAGGTGCATCATCTAGCTAATTGTTAGTCGAAAGCGAGACACTCGCCTCAACATTGTTTACCATTGAAATTTGCTGATTTTTTTTTTCCATTGAACTGTACTTTGAGAATTATCGAGTGGAGATGAAACTTGGCACCTAAAGGATGGTGGGGTGAAATTGAAAATTGAGAATTACAAATTAAGGCAGAACTTCACTTCACAATAATTTGCAATTCTAGAAAATTCGTCATTGTACATTTTAATCTTTTCCATTCCAGTGGGCTAGACATGATTACAATACAAATAATATACTAGTAAAGATCAATTCAATTACTCTAAGAACAATAATATTCAAACCACTAGAAATCTTGAAACACCATGAGACAATTCATTAAGATAAGAAATTCAAAACTTTTTATGATGTCCAAAAGAGTCAGCAAGTTCCATAGCTTCAACATCAAAAGAATCTACTCTATTAGGTTTCTTTACAAGCCTCCTCCTAAAAGATCCTAACCCTTAAATTATCTCCACATCACCAACCAAAGACCATGGTGGTGATTCTGAATCCAATTCACTTCCATCCACCCACCTAATCTCCCCGCCACCGCCGTCTCCACCACCACCACCACACCTGAACAATCTCTCACCACTCTCTTCAATCCCTGCCTTTTTCATTTTTCTTCTTTTCGCTTCACTAATCTCCACATTACCCATCAAAGACCATGGTGGTGGCTCTAAATCTAATTCATTTCCATCTATCGACCTAGTCTCTCCGCCACCACCTCCCAAAAATCTCACATTATTCTCTTCAATCTCTTCTTCTTCCATTCTAGTTTTCCCTTCAATACACTACAAAAAATGACTCATATGTCAATAAATGCTTCATACTTAACATTCCACGTTCAGCATTTCAGCGTGTAACTTTATCTCTTTCTACCTCGAAAAACTGTCTTGTAATTACAGCATCATTGGCTGAAGCACGCCTCCATGTGACATGATAATCTCCAGTACTAAGTCACTTTCTTCCGCCATGACGATTTCATATCTTTTCAAGTTCTCAACACACATTACTTGTAATATTTGCATCAAAAATTGAGTATCATCTATGGAAATTTGGAAAGTGTCAAGAGCAATCGGTGAATTTACCTCTTTAATAATGTACCCCTTTTCTTCATCTCTTGTTTTGAAGTATTCTCCAAAGTACAACTCTTCCAGTTTCTTCATACCTAATAAAACACCAGGTGGAAGTGGGCAGGGACTGTCCAAAATCTAATTTTCACTTTTGATATAATCTCAATTAGAGAAATCAGCGGATCTATGCATGTATCACTGCCCATTGACATATAAAAAGAACCACAATCAGATCTGTAGAGGACACAGTAATCAATTTCCAGTTAAAACCAAACCACAATTGCCAATATCCAGCTTACCTTCTTGATAAACACTCAACCCTCATCACAAAAACCTTCAAAAACTCCAGTTCCAATTACAGAACACAGCTTTTAGAACACCCAAATCACTAAACCACTTAGAAACCAAAACCCAGAAACCCCAAATAAAGAAATTGTTTCAACTTCAATTGCACATCCATAAGTCCGTGGTGAAAGAAGTTGTTTTGCAACTTCTCCCCAAGTAAAATGGCGGTGATAGATTGCTTTGTTAACTGAGAAATTTTGCCTGGAACATTCGAAGCAACAACTGGCCGATTTCCACGTAAAAGAATTAAAATCCCTAATAAATTTAAGCCCAAACAATAATTTCATTCCCAAAAGATCAAATTTTTTAGCATGTTTTAAATATCAAGAAAAAAAAAATACTAACCTCAGAGCAAGTGAATTCAGTGGCATCAGCTAACCGAATGGAATCGAACAGTCCATAAAAATACGATGGGTGAAGCCGGTCCCGGAGACCCTAGGGACCCATTCACCGTAACTTGTTTTTCAATCCCTCGGGCAAGGTTTGGTGCTGGTGATGGAGTTGTGCCGAAGTGGGCACCAGTTGAATCGTCGAATAATATGTCTGATGGTGCAGGGGATGGTGTTTTACTGAAAGGGACATCAGTAAAACCTACAGGAATATTCGCCGGAGATAATGGTGCCGGAGATGGAACACCTGTCATGTAGCTATTTGGAGCTTCGACTGAAATGGACGCCGGAGCCGGAGAAGGAATCCTTTTCATATTGGTATTTGGATCTTCGGCTGAAAAGGGCGACGGAGAAGGAACCAACGCACCGGGAACTGGAAAGTCACTGGGAATTGGCGGCTTCACGGCGGGATGATTATCGACGGCATCATCCAGTGACATCATTATAGAAACCACAACAATCCACCGGTTATGATAAACCTCTGTCCCGTCAACCACGATGCCGTCGACGGTAACAGTTATGTCAGTAGAATGAACAAGAATTGTCTTGTTCGGAGCCAAAGTATCAAAATCCTTCCCACTTGCCGGCAACTTCGCAAGATCAGCAAAATGCTGTCTTTCACAACATGATGCCGGAAATCGAAATGAAATCCGCCAGAACGCGAGAACAAGTTCTCGTCGGAAATCGCAAAAACCGTAACCGATGATAGAGATAGTAGTTCCGACCTCTTGATAGCCATAGCTGTGGCTACTACATTGAATCCTCTCCATCTCAATGCTCTTATGGCGTGATCAAGAAATGATCGATTCACCTCACCTGGATGAATCTGGGTCATCGGATCAACATCAGGAAAAGAACATTTGGTTGCAAATGTTGGGTCCAATACACCATCTATGCCATGAACAGTTAGATGATCATCGACGTAAAGATCCGGCTGCCGAATCTTGACGGCGGAGATAAGATTATCCGATGAGGAGGACGATGGGTGAAGCCGTTGCCAAAATAGGCTTCGCAAGAACAAAAAGGACATTGGGACATTGGGGTCTGCGACCAGGGGAGGTAGGAATGCAATATGGGCCAGCACGTGACGGAAAGCAGGAGGTTGCTAGAATGGTGATAAGCTGACGGAAAGTAGGAGGTTGCTAGAATAATGATAAGCCAGCGTCTGATTGTGACGGGGCGATCTGGGTGGGAAGAGAATTAGAGGTAGAGAGATACAGAATTTAATGCTAAGAGGGACAGACAGAGCAAGATTTTCAGCTTCTTGCTGTTCACGTTCTGACACTTGCTTTCTCTTCTTTTCTTTTCATCATTTGGGGAAGATGTATTTTACGAAGTGTTTAAAATGTCAAGTGATTTTTAGTCATGTATTAAATTTTGCATCGTATCAAATTTTGCATTAAATTTTATTTTAAATTAAAATTCATTTCCAATTATTATATCAAAAATTACATCAAATGAACAGTGTTTAACCATTTTTTTCTTTTTTTATTCTTTATAATTTATTTATTTAAAATATTATTTATTTAATTATTTTATAAATACATAAATTATTAAATAAATAAGTACGGTAACTACATAATTCGTGTTAACTTTAATAAATAATCGTGTTTGTTGTATTTTAAATTATTTTTTATCTTTTAATTAATTTATTAATTAGTATGTCTTACATTTAAATTTTATTTTAAATGTAAATAATAACATTAATAATAATAATAATTTATTTTATTAAAAAAATATAGCACAAATGATATAAATACATTTAGGGTGTGTTTGATTACATTTATTTTCCATGAAAAATATCAGTTTTCCACCCAAATTCCTATTTGAAATGTTTGATTGCTATTTTTTTCCATGGAAAATATTTTCCAACTTTTGAAAATATGCCTAATTTTCCTTGTTTTTAAGAAAAATATTTTTCTTGGGTAGAGGTGGTTTTTATTTTCCACAAAAGAGGGAAAACATTTTCTTTTCTAGGTGATATTTTTGATGTCAATCAAACACACTCTTAACAAATTTATATGGAAAATGTTAAATAAGGACAAAAGAGACAATTTACACTTTGCACCATTTTGATGGAAAATGATGCAAAGTGAATAGTGTTGCATTGGAACAATTTTGTACCAACAAATTGTGCAAAATGGTGCACCATTATTATTATTTTTTTCTTCTTATTTAAAAAAAATATTTTTATTCTCCACCAGGTTTGTATGGAGCAAAATTGGCTCTCTTTTTTTTTTTTTTTACCTAAAAAAAAATTTTTTTTTTATTATTTTTTTCTTCTTATTTAAAAAAAATATTTTTATTCTCCACCAGGTTTGTATGGAGCAAAATTGGCTCTCTTTTTTTTTTTTTTTTTTTTTTTACCTAAAAAAATATTTTTATTATTAATTTTTTTATTTTTATTTTTTGCCTTTTGTTGAAAAAGATGTTTTTATTCTCTTCATTTGTTAAAAAAAATTTCCACCATCCTAAAATATACAAAAAAAAAAGAGATTTTAAAATTTAAAATGAAGTGGGAGAAAAGCACAGACCTGGTATCCGACTAATTACTCCAGTGTCACTATTCCCATCGGCTAATTCACCATCATCTGAAAGTTATCTTCGAACAAAATTAACGCCATACTAATAGTAATCAAATGAAAACTTAACAAAAATGAAGATTAATTCAAAAGAACAAAAAATCGAAAAAATATACTTACATACAAATGAGAGAGATTCGTCTTGGGTTGTATAACTTTGAAGGGGTTGGTCATAGGTGTTGCAACAAATGAAAACTTAAGAAAAAACACCATTAAAGACAAATAAGCAACTAAATGGTACAGATGAACTCAAAATAATAATAATAATAATAATAATAATAATAATAATAATAATAATAATAATAATAATAATAATAAATAACCAGACTTAAGTATTGAAGATAGTAATGGGTTGTATGTGTTCAAGATTACACCTATTTCGTAAAATCATTACCTTCAAGTGCAAGTTCTTATTCATACAAAAATATATATATAAAAATTTTAGAAAAAATGATGATTAACTCAAGAGAAAAATTGAAAAGTAGAATTCAGAAAAAAAAAAACAAATGGTTATTTGAAAGTATAGTAAACATATACTTAGATAAAAATTACAAAGATTCTGATTTAAAATGTTTGCTGGTGATACGTGACCATGGAACTGCTCTTCTTTAGCTGTATAAACAATTTGTGATGGAGTTTGGTCGCGAGTGTTGCAATTTTGGATTAAATCGGATGGAGATATGACTGTGCGTACAAATAAGTTTTTGGGTCAGGATTTGATCAGATTTTGGAGGTATGAGATTGTGGAGTGGAATGAAGAGATGTTTGAGCTGATGGTTGAGTAAAGTAATGAAAAGGGAAAAAAATGAAAGAAGATGGGAAATTGTGACACGTGTCCAGCCAATATTTTGCTCTTTTATATATATATAGGAAATAATGACGAACTAAAGGGTGTTCCAATGCACATGCACCAAACGAGGCTGAATCGAAAAGACCATGGCGAAATTGAGCAAAAAAGTATCTTTTTTGGTCAAGTTGGAGTTCGAGCTCTGAATTTCTCATTTTTTACATTAAATAATAATGAACTAAAGGGTGTTCTAAATTGAGATATGTTCTCAATTAAGATATTAATGAATTTTAATGAAATCCATTAAAATTGTCAATCGTCAATTGATATTTTAATGAATTTTAATGAAATTCATTAAAAATTAAGTGTCCTTAATAACTCATGAATTTATATGGATTCCGCTCTTAGTTTACAACAATACTTTTCAAATTGTTTTTTTATACATATTTATTTTCAATCAAAAATTCGCAAAATAAAATATTCTATACATAAAATCAAAACTTCTTCCTATTTCTTAAATACACATTCTCCCAAAAATCACTATTTAAAGATCGTTTTTCAATTTTTTTTATTTTTTTTATCAAAAGTATGATTGTCAAATAGGGGCTTTATCAATGGAGAGATTTTAAAAGATTTGGATGGATTTCAATCTCAAAAATATATATAAAAAACTATTTTCAAAATTCACAATTTTTAGCCCCCGATTGAGCCCCATTAAATTTATAATACATTTCTCTCTCTCTCTCTCTTTTTAACTACACATTCTTCAATAAAATAATATTACATATAAACAAAAAAACTTTTCATTCATTTCAACCACACATTCTCTAAAAAAATACTATTCCAAAAATTATAACTTCAAATAATGGGGACCAAATGGGGGCTTAATGAGATTCTTAAATATTGTATAAAAATCTATTCAAATCCAAGAAATTCATTAGAATTTATATTCTTTTAAAATCCATCAAAATCTTATTTGATGACACTTCTTAATATTATTTATAAAGTTGATATTGATGCGAACTTTTTTTATTATTCAATTTTCCTATGTTATTATATAATATTAGAGTTAATTGTCTAAATAATCATTAAAATTGTGTCTTTGACTTCAATGCTCACTAAACTTTCAGATATCAAGTTTTGGCTTCTAACCTTATCAAAATATTAGACATTACTCAATGGCATGACATTCGTTTTGCATTTAACGAAATTGGTGACATGACAGATGGAATGTATATGTGATGTTCCAAACATCGTTATACAAATTGTCACGGGAGAAATGCTTTTTTAATTGCTCAATATACTTTAAGATACTCGAGTTTTGGCCATTGAACTTGTAAAACTGATTCTTCCCTGCACTAAAAATTTAGGAATATTGTTCTAAATATCACTTGCATAAAATAAAATTTATTTTTTTGTGGACAGATGCTATTCAATGGAGACTTAAGTGGCTTGCTATGAAAACATACTCAATCCGATGAACTGCAACTCTCTTTGTGGCCAACTGTGGATGCTACTTCAATCAAAGCTCCTAAATGGATGGATAAACAAAAGGGAAAGACACCAAAAAAAAAAGGACAAGGAATTGACCTTTTTTATTGATCACAGAATTTTAATGAATCAGAGGCGTCTGATCCATGTTTTTTTTTCCATTGATGATAGAATTTTGGTGGGCACTTTTTAATATAATTAGTAGCTGCAAATATTTTCATTAATATAAATAATTATGATAGATGTTTTTGGATGGTGTTTGGTGTATATTTTTTGGTTGCATAAACATACTTGCTGCAAATGATACATGTTGTTTGCTGTTAATCTACATTATGAAATTTTTAAGTGAATGTCAAACATATTTTTGTTAAAATGAGTCCAATATTATTTAGCATTTTATTTTTTCCCTCGTCAATCTTCATTGTTTTGTTTTTAACTAGTAGTTGCAAATGTTGATCAATATTTATTTGACAAATTGTAGATTGTCTAAGTTAAATTCAACGGGTATAATGCATAAGGTGATTAGAATTGGCTTAGGAAGATCAAGCATCAAGATGTTTACGCTTTAATGGATGAATATCTATATTTAGAATCGAAGTTTCGCAAGTTCTAGTACCTATCCTTGATTTTTTTCCTTAAAAAACTTGCTTCGAATATAGATCAAATTTTGATTTATGCAAGTAATACTTGAAAAAACATTCCCAAGTTTTCAATACAGGTTGGCATCAATTTTACAAGTTTAGTGACCAAAACTCGACCACCTTAAAGTATAATGAGCAGTCAAAGATGTCTTTAAAAATATAGTGAGCAATTAAAGATCTATCATACGTGACAACTTGCATAACGTTATTTGGGGCCCACCTGTGCATTTCGTCTACAATGTCACTAATTTCGTTAAAGGTATAAAGCAGATGTCATGTCAGTGAGCGACTTTTAACATTTTGATAAGTTTAGAGGTCAAAACTTGATATCTAAAACTTTAGTGAGTAGACATAAGTTTAGTGATTATTGGGAAAATTAACTCGAATAATTAAAATTTTTAAAATTCAAAAGTTATTTTTAAGAAAAAAAAGTTTTGTTCTAGTGGTGTCAAAATAAGTTAGGCTCCCTATGATCCAACCCTTTAACAAAAAATGAGATGTAAAATAGTCGCCAACAATATTCAGGTCGATTGTTGGGTGACCCTCCATAATAAACGACGGTGTTGAGTTTTGTTGACTAGTTCGTAATTTCGTGCGGACCGACCTAATAATTGAAAATCGATCAAGTGCAAGAGGTTTGGTGAAGATATAAGCCAAGTGATTTTTCGTGTTCACGAATTCTAAAACAATATCTCCCTTTTGTGTATGATCTCTTAAAAAGTGATGTCTAATTTCAATGTCCTTAGTTCAAGAGTGCAAAATGGGATTTTTGACAAGTTTTTGGCACTAGTGTTATCAAACATAATAGATA